GTGTTGACTACCATCACCTGTGTACAACATGTGATGATGGTCCAATCAATATTATTAGCTCTAGTACATTTTTAAAAGACTTTTATTTAATAGAACTAAGTTGCACATAACCTTTTAGGAGCATAATTAGAAGAAATAAAGCATCCACATACTCGTATTTGCAAACCTTTAAATGGGAAATAATCAGGGAAAGATTAAGACAACTAAATAAGGCTAAAGTGTTTACAATAATTCCAGAAAAGACTTGGTATATTTCACTACGTAAATTTATTTTTTTATAAAAAAGGCATAACACTGGCACCTACGTTTAAATCCATTAATTTATGAAACCCTTTTTTGTAGAATACACACTGGCATTGAAACAGTTTAGAGAAATATAACGGCTATCTACAAAAAATTAGTTTTGATTGTTGTATTCCCCCCATACTTTATATGTATGAACACATAAAAGAAAATTAAAATTTTCAAACATTTTATATGCAGCAATTTTTTTAAAAAGTACACCATTTCCCATTGCTATGGTCTTTACAAAGGACTTAAAGTTTCAAAAAATAAAATAAAATAAAATAAAAAATAAACCAAAACACTAAGGTGCTAGGATAACTCTGCTGTCTTTTAACAGCATTTTTATATAAAACAATTTGAGCTGACATGTAAGCAACTTCTTTTGTTGTCACATACCTGTGACAATTAGGGAAAGTTACACCCATTTTACAGAAAAGTCCCAATACATATACTGCAATAAGCTCAAAACAATGTTAAAAGACCAGTGAGAATGGCACACAAAGATCGCTTCTTTATAAATTATTAACTGGAATTCTTGATCATGAAGTAGGCACAGGGAAATCCAGTCCTTAGGGCTTTGCTCTCTGGAAGAACACCTGTGAATAAAATATTAGGACAATTAATATTAATGTCAGAAGATACCACTTTTTTCACCTAAAACACTTCACATATTTCATAAATCCACACATAATCCAAGATAAGAACTTTTTCATCTGGAGAATTTGATAAAGTCTACATATAACTTATGCTGACATCACCCAACTGGAAAAGTACTGAAAATAAGGTATTACCTCTAATGCTATGAGATTCAAGTGGTCAGAAGAAAACATGCTTATGACACCTTTTTAATGACTGGCACTACTGTCAAAATTAACACTTGGAAATTAAATTTCGAGGAAGAAACAAGTCAAAGCTAAAGACAGCAGTCCTAATCCCTTTAGGAATTTACTATTTATTTAAAGATTAGAAAGTGCTTCCCAGGGGCTAGCCAGTTAGCTCAGTTGGTTAGAGTGTGGTGCTGATAACTAACAGCACCTAAGTCAAGGGTTTGATCCCTGAACCAGCCAGCTGCCAAATAAATAAATAAATAAAATGATAAATGTTTTTTAAAAAGTACTTCACATTCAATATTTGAGACTAATAGAGAAGAGGCTAGAGGCTGTGCTAGACACTGGACCAGTATTACATATTACCATTCACATTTAGGTATATGTTAAGTGAGCACTAGAAATAATAAATGGTAGGCAGTAAGCTCTTTACAGACAGGACTGTATTTATCGTTGTATCACCAGCACCTAACAGATCAGATATTCATCTAAAAAATAGTCTATTGGCTAAATGCAGAGAAAAAAATGATCACCATATGAACAAAAGAAAGCCATGCTTAAAATAAGCCTAGAAGAATGGGTAGAATTCATAAAGGAGGAGGGTTGCTAATAAGGCAGCATTATTAAAGAACAGAAAGAATAGCAAAGACCATTCCTGAAAGAGAAACCAGAAAGGTGGTCTGAGATCCGAATATGGAAAAAAAATTAAATGCCAAACCAAGAAACATGAACTTATTTTTAGTAAACTATTATATAGGAAGGTAATGAGGAAGGGGAATGAATTTCAAAGGACTGTTTGATGTTTTCAAACAGATCACCTTGGCTAGAACAAGTGAAGGAAGTGAGATAATAAAAACCTACACCCATAAACCTACACCCAAGTAGCAGCAGTGGAGATCCAAACGAAGAGGGAGCATGAAGGAGGAGAGAATCAGCAAGATCTGGGAATCAGATACGAAGGCAGGAATAGACAAAAAAGAATGAACTTCATTTTTTTCAACTAGAAGTATAATGCCATCACTAAGATGGAAATGCCATCACTGAAGAAGTTGGGCTTAAGTGCTGTGTAGATGAATATATTCATGGGAAGCACAAGCCTTCACAATGTTCCTAGATCTACAGGTACACATACCTCTAATAGTTTAAGGTTTTTTAAGTCCTTTAATCCAGTTTGATTGATCAGTTATTTAACTGAAGTTACTTACATAGGTATTTTTCTTTTATGGGGAAGTGGGGGAGGGAAGGTTCCCAATGAGAAAAAATAATTCTCAATAGTCTTCCACACATACTCTTTGAGATGTTTAAGCTGACAAACTACAACTAGGAAAAAAACTGACAAGGGAAGATATTAGAACCACAGTCAAAGGATGGCACACTTAATTATTTTCTTAGCAAAGCCCTTTGACTTAGCAATTCTGTTAAATGTCTTGGGCAAAAGAATCAGGTAGCAATTCACTGTTACCTGTTACCAAGAAATTTAATACAGTCCTTGCCTTCAAATCTGTTGAATTAAGATAATGAATAAAAATAAAAATAGTTCCTCACCCTGTCACACTACTTCTAGACTACGAGCACCTTGTGGGCAGGGAAAATCACTTGTAGTGGTATTTGCAACAGTTACCATAGTAGCTAGTACATAAAAAGCAGTCACGAAGTGTGAAATGACTGACTACCTAGGTGAGAGCAGATCGGTTTATCTCATGGATTTAACTGTAACTATGAATACCAAATAAACACTTAGCACTTCTTGTCAACTTATAGGTTTTTAAAAAAATCAATGATTTTATGAATGTAAAAAGAGCCTTGATGGCCAAATCTGAGGATTTTCCTTTGTCTGCTTTACAATTTAAATGTTTCAAAATATAAGCAAATAACTCACACTTCTGTTTTTTATATTTTTATAGTTCCTTCCTTTTTCAACTTAATATGGACAACTGTTCTTAACATTTTTTCTTCTCCCAATCCTCTAGTTTACATTTAATTGCATCATGAAACTATAAAAGAAAACTGGCATTTTCATACCAATATACTAAGTAAGGTGTGTACATTCGGTGTGCTTACCTAATTTTTTAGGATCTTTTGCAAGAGCTTAGTTGAAAGGGGCTACACAGGAACATCTGTAATTGCAGATTCTTAGAAGCAGCTTTTAGAGCAAAGAGATCCCAAAATAAGTGACAGTTGGTCAAACTACAGTACAGATGTATTCTTCCTTGGCTCCCAAACATTACCTAATTGTATGAAAATATGTAATTTTCTCAAATACCTACCTTTAAGTAATTTTTAAAAACTTTAGCATCAGGCTGCTGAAGCGCTTGACAAAACTCCTGGGGGGTGGG